AAAAAAATTAATGATCTTAACATTTTTTTATGATGATTATAATCACAACGGGACTATATTTGTAGTCTAAACTACCTAGAAGCCACCACAAAGACCTACCATGATCTCTGTTTTAAAAATATAGAGATCAAAATATTTTGGAGCCTAATTATTGAAAAGTAAGAATGGTAATTCCCTCTGATTTTGTAGAACTTTTATTATAGGCATAGAGTGAGGCGAGGATGGAGAGCATTTTCTTTTTATGAAATTTTGTAGGAATTGTTCCTATTGGCAAGTAGTACAAGGATCCCATTCTTTATGAAAAATTAAAAAAAATGTTAAATTTAATACAGTTTAAATATTTAACTTATAATCATAAGTATACATATGATTCATTTTTAATCTTAATTCAATACAAAAATATGATTATTTTAAATCAAAACAAATCCGTCACTTTTTTTACTTTAACCTAACTATTTAAAATATTTTATTTTAAAATAATTAAATTAATTTTATAATATAATTGAGGGTGGAGAATCCAGTGGAGACCCATTCCTTATAAGTAATAAGGACGAAGGCAAATTCTACTCCTATCAAAAGTCCCCATGGAATTCCCATCTCCATAATTTGCGAAGATGAAGATAAAAAGGCACACTTTAACCCTATGAGCCTTCGTTGCTATCCCTATTGAAAAACCAAATCATATCCACCAACCAATATTATCATTAAAGAAAAAAAAAAGAAGAAAATTTACACAATTGGCATGCACAATTACACATGACACATCTGACTGAAGATTTGCAAGATAACAAGAAGAACACTTAAATATCAAAATGGAACCTCATTAAACTGTAGCTTTTGGCCATTAAGCGTACCGATCATCCAGTAGCTTCATGACCCAGCAAAGCAAAGTGAGAAAAACCCGTCCTGATCATCCAATGAATTTTGAAATTTCTGCTGTCGTGATGGAATATGCCCAAAACTTCAAATCAATCAACAAGAAATTACCTTGTCATAAAAAAATTGATCATGCAGTTGCTCTCGGAACTTTCATGCCAAAACCGTGCCTCACTTTCTCAACCCTGTTCATAATGTCAGGTTAATGAGGCGTGAAGATGTGTAAACAATAAAGGAGTGGAAAGAAAGAAAGCATGAAAGGCAAACTCCAAGCAGAGCAGAAATTTTTATGGCAAGTCTATTTTTCTAGAGGGGAAAGTTGGGCACTGAACGATATTGCTGAAATATCCATATGGCTTAAACAATGTTTAACTAAAATAGCATGTCACACAGATGAAGCAAAGAGTAGAGAAGGAGAGATCCATCAGAGAATTGATGCTTACGTTGGTGCAAGTTTGCAAAGACTATCTAGCTCTTTGCCAGTGTCCTCATCCAGGACTCTACCAGATATCTCAATGATGTAGGACCTATCTCTATCAGTTGGAAGCCCCCTGCTAGCCAGCAAATCTAAATCATTTTTATGGAGCTCTCTTCCATTAACAAAAACACCAGTGTTTCCACCAGCACAATTCTCTGGCATCTGATAGTTGAATTCTTCGATAAATGGCTGCAGCAGAAATGGCCAATAAAAGAAATTATTACCAATTAAGAGAAGAACAAAATGTGTATAGGCAAACATATGAGATCAGAATAAGTTGATCTTACAGGAATTATGCCAAGACAAGGTCCACCCATGACACCCCAGAATCCAGCTCGGAAATCATACCTGATTTAGGCAAAATTCATGTGCCGTGGAGAATATTATTGCATGAGATAGTTCAAGCTTGATAGATATAAAACAATTACTATTGCCATAATCCATTGCACATAATCATTTAATGAATGATTATAAAGAAATTTGATGCATGCTTACCAATACTTTCCAGGCTGAATTGGTCCTGCCATCTTTTCAGCCTTCTTAACCATGCGATCTGGTATGGGATACCCATTAACTGACACATTTAATTTATCCTTGAAGCTCTTCTTGATAATGTTTGAAAAAAATGATCCACTCCCTTTTGTGGTTTTTGATTGATAATCTTCTCTTGTTGCATCCCCTGAATCTTGATAAATTCCTGAATTAGCATACCCCTTGGACAACACCTCCATCTCAGTTGCTAGTGATGCCTCATTCAAAGAATTTTGTCGTGTGGTGATCTTGTTTGATACAACTTTCTCTTGATCTGAACGACTACTCTGATTTCCATTTCCAAATCGGTTCACCACATGGTTGTTAGAAGAGTAATCAAAGTGATCCAGCAAAGGTGAACCAGGGAGCGGTGGAGTCAAAGTGGGTTTGACTTGCATCTGAACAGGGTTTATATCCTTTCTAGAAGCAGTTAAAACATTTGGACTGTTCTCATCCTCGGAGGTAGAGGTGGGAGATGAAGAACCAAAGCTTTGAAATTCTTGAGGATTGACCGAATTCAAATCCTGGCCTGCTGATAATGAAATGGGATCTCTACCCATTGACTGAAAATCATAAGCAGAATTATCATAATCATCTGTGGAGAAATTAGCAGCAATTCCGCTCACATGGCCTTGGAAATCTGATGTACTTTCTTTCACAACTTCACTAGAGTTATCATGAACCACAGCTGAATTTCCATTTGTATCTGCATGATCACGAAGAATAAGTTTCTTACCAACAACAGTGAAGCTTATTACTGTAGAACAGGATCCACAACACAATTTTTGTTCATTTTCTGCTACAAGCTGTACTTTCCGAGGAAGCTGTATTAGTTCAAAACAACTATGACACAATAGAAATGGAGCACCACCAGCTACAGGGCGGCAATGGTGGCCTCCTCTGGCTACCACCGCTCTCTGAGGGCGGCATGGAACAAAACCACCCAATCCAGAATTAATATCACTTGGACATCTAGCATGAGCTTGAGTACCATGTGCATTCAATGGAGGCATGACAGTCAGAGTGTTGTGATGATATGAACCAAAAGCCCTACGATTTTCAAGATGATACAACATAGGGTTGCCCGAGACATCAGGGTATCTTTTATTGCTAATAGCACTGGGTGGAACAGGAGCTGAAACTCGCTGATTTTTGTCATAACAATGGAAACATGAAGATGAAGGCTGGTGCAAGACTGCATTCGGTTGATATGGGATAAATGGATCTTGATTAGAGTCAACAAATTCTCTGGAAAAGAATGGATGAGATGGCTGTTGTTGGTATTCACCAGGCAACTGTTTTGGAGTTCTTCTAAATATTTGGGATCCAAAGGGATCTTCATACCCAGGAACAAGATTTGGGTTATGCATTGGAGGATATAATGCATGCCTAGGCATATCATGCCCAGCAGCATAAGGGAATGGAGCTTGATAATTACCAAAATAAGGCCGTCCTGCAGCATGTTTATCAGGTCCAAAAAAAGGAACTGAAGCTTTGTCTACTCCTGAAGAGACACTTGGAAACCAGGAATCAGCACAAGCATAAGGCTCAGGAGGGACAGCCCTTCCATCAATTGTTACTTTCTCTTTGGGACTATGAGCTACATCACAGGACTGAATCAGTTGCTTCTTTAACTCATCTAGCATTCTCAGAAGGTCAGCTGGATCTTGTTCGAGTAAAACCCTACTAGCACCACCATCCAAATCATTAAGATTCCGATGAGAATAATCTGAACAATTGTTTGATGGGCCCTCTTCTGGATGCTTTGAAGTTGAAAACCGCACATCTTCAACCACGGTTCTTGGTATTCTCCGAAGCCCCTCCATGTCTTCTTGTCCCCCAGCTCGTAAATCTGACATTCGTCCCAATCTTTGTGATTCACTAGCAAATCCAAATTGAGAATTCAAGTCCCCATTTTGCCTTGTAATTGCATTGCTCAATTGATCTTTACTCCCACTCAAATCATGACCATTCTCAACAGCCATTTTATCATATGTAACCTCAGCTTCACCGCTACATCTTTCAGCACATGCAACATCATTCTTCTCTGTTTCCCTTTGATCACACTTCAAGGCGCCATCATTTGACCTAACATCTGTACCAGAGACATCACTCAACACCACCGTTCCTTTTTCTGAGGAAATCTGGGATTTAGTGGAAACCCCTTCCACCCTTTCTCCTTCAGACTTCTTAGAGGTACCAACTGCCTCAGCATTCTTATTTTTTGCTGTGAAATAAACAGACACTATAAATTAACTATTGGAGAAAAGAGTTTCAAAAAAGAAACTAAAAATCGAGTCCACAAAATCTTGAAAGAAATCTTCTTATCAGTGTCTTGGTTTTATTCATCAACCAAAATGAGGGCAGTATGCTACTGAGAATGAAAATTAACAACAATCAAAATATCAAATTTGCGACGATACACCTTAAGAGAGCTGATAAGCAGCAATAGCAATATGAATGAGAGAACCAAATAAAGCCTCAATTATGCCTAATATAATACTCCATTGAAGCGAATATTTCAAGTTTCAGTCTTTATGGAAACCAGAATCGTGCTGCGTCCAGTTGAGATGCTAAAAATCAAAATTTCTCTTTAACCCACAAAATTTTCTTACCAAACAAGGAGCTAAAGAAAGAGAAGGGAGAGAGAGAGCAGGAATTAACTAACTTTACCTCGAAGAACAGCACCACAGCCACCACACTGATAAACAGAGAAATTAGGAAGCTCCTGGAGCAGATTTTCGCATTTTGGGCAACGAACCAACCTCACTTTGGTTGACTCGACCATTTTAGAAACATTCGAAGGTACCCGTCCGTATCCCTTCAGATGAACCAAACGACAGCACGGGAAAAGAACAAACACCAAAGATTCCTAAAGAACTTCTGAAAATATTTCAACAGTCCCACTAGGAGGATGTTTGGTAGCCAAGAAATGAAGGGGAATAAATGAAACGGACTAACAAGAAAAGCTCAGCCGTTGAGGATTCAATTTGTAGTTCTAGCAGCTGAGAAATGCAAGTGAAACAAAATTGAAGGAAGTGATTTTCTTTTTTCTCAGTTTCAGTTTTCCAGACCCAAACAGGGGAAAAGAAAAAAAAACAGGAGTGGGAAAGACAAATTCCTGGGAGATACAATGAAGAAACCTAGAATTCGAGGAAGTGTTGTGCTGTGAGAAATTTGCGGTTATAGATACGTTGTGTGTTGGAACGAGTTCAGTTCAGGGGATGGAATCGTCTTCTGGATGTCGTGGCATTGTGGATGAAAGGAACACTGTTGCTTCCTAGAAACCGCGTGGCAAAAGCTGTGAAAATGGGTCCTTCAAGAATGTCATACGATATCTTTGCGGCCACGACCTAAAACTTTTGATACGTAAGCAGGCCTTGTTTTCTTTTTCCTTTTTCAAAACGAGGGAAAATTTTAAAAGAACAAAGAAATATTAGGATTGTTTTAATAAAAACTTGAATTTTAATATAAAATTAGGTGTTTGAAACATGTTAAGTGTTAA